GACAGCCGCCTTCTTTGACATAGAGAAGGCCTACGACATGACTTGGAGATTGGGGATCCTACAATACCTTCACCAGTGGGGGTATCGTGGAAACTTACCTTTATTTGTTGAGTCCTTTCTAAAGGAAAGATTTTTTCGTGTTCGTCTTGGAAATGTCTGTTCAGGGCGTCGTCTTCTGGAGAATGGAGTGCCCCAAGGTTCTACCCTGAGTGTTACTCTGTTTTCCATTGCTTTAAATAAAATCTGTGATAATCTAAGTGTTAACGTTAAGCGTAGTGTGTACGTCGATGATATCATGATTTTTATTTCTGGTCCTAAAAATCAAACATAAATAGACAAATGCAAATGGCAATAGATCAGATTGTACAAGCGGGCGAAGATAGAGGTTTCAAGTTCTCCCCCTCCAAATCAAAAACTATGCATTTTTGCCACTTAAGGACTCCCCATTACCGTCCATTCCTAACCCTAAAGGGAAACCCCTTAAATTGTGTGGAAGAATGAAAATACCTTGGGCTCATTTGGGATAAACGTCTTGCCTGGAAAAAGCATATGGATTATTTAAAGGGAAAAGTCTTAAAAGCCCTTAACTTGATCAAGTGTCTTGCCCATACTAAATGGGGAGCACATAGAGATTCTTTACTTACCTTGTTTAAATCACTGGTTATCTCCAAGCTGGACTACGGATCTGTTGTATATGGGTCCGCTCCAAAGTCCACATTACAACCACTTAATGTGTTACACAATGCGGGAATACGATATGCTGTAGGAGCTTTTCCGACAACACCCATTCATAGTCTTCACGTAGAATCTGGTATTATGTCCCTGGAAAACAGAAGATTGTTTTTGGCACTATCTTACATTGCCAAGTGCAGAAAATGGGGAATTACCAACTTTGTCCACCCTTATCTTATTAATGACGTACCCTTGAGAAATCCTAGGTACACATCATCTATTTCCAAGGCCAGACTGATGGGTGATGAATTGCACCTAAACATGCCGGTCGGCGACTCTTCATTTGTTCCCAATAATCCACCCTGGACTGTTGAATACCTGGACGATCTTCAACGCCTAAAATTGGAAAAGACTCAGATTACAAAAAATATTAAAGATAGGATTATGGTGAAATGGAGTGAGGAATGGGCAGGAAAGGGGACTTTTTTAAATAATATAACCGACTTGGTAAGTGGATGCAAAACATCAACGTTGAGCCGTAAGCGACAAGTTGTTATAACAAGGTTAAGGTTGGGTCACACCAATCTTACCAAATGTTACCTCCTGGAAGGTGCTGAGGTACCTACCTGTGAAGGCTGTGGTGAAGTACTTACGGTGAGACACATTCTTGTCGAATGTCCCTCTTTACATCATAAAAGAATAAACCATAGTATATTCAACGTCCAACTAAAAGAAATGCTTGAATATAATTCAATTCATATTGAACAAGTTCTTAACTTTCTTAGTGAAATTGGATTTTTAAATAAAATTTAAAGTAACATCTGTGATACCAAGTCCCATTTTAGTGTATGTCATTTATTTTATTATTGTATCATGCTTACCTGTTTATTTATTGATCTTTTCGTTAAATCTAGTCAGGAGAGGTTTTTAGCCGGTAAGAGTCCGGCACTACCCAGCGTAATGTTAGGGTGTCCATGAGGATTTTCCTCTCCGGTTATGGTGCCAATGACCGCAGCAGTCGACGCACCTTAATGAAAAAAAAAAAAATAATAGAGTATTTATAGGGCAGATCAAACACAAAATATATAAATATAAAAAAGCATACAATTGTACAAAACAAAATCAAAATGAAAATTGTTCAAACAAACCCATATTCAAGAACTAATGACAAAAACTCAATGCAAATCACCAGTCTCGTATAGACATTTAATACGCTAAAGAAGCATCGCTAGTAGCGCCACTACGTGGCCGATGTTTCCAGAATTCACCTTTTAATAAGTCACCAGAATTCACCTTTTAATAAATAGTTAAACGCGAGGGGTAAACCACTGATTTTTAAAATTAAAAATCGCCTACGAATTAACGGCTAAGGATAACAAGGGTAGTCATGCGCAACGTGTCGCTAAGAGAAATTTGTTATTGAGAAAGATTTTTCCTTATTGACTGATAACGTCCACATATATGTGGACGCTTTGTTATAACGTTGAACGTTGGTCTTCGCTGATTTTAAAGTGATTTACCCCTCGTTCAAACGCGTATGTTACATGAATATGAAGTTAGCAAAGCATCCATCCCCAATCCAGGAGCGATTAGGTGCATAATTTGCCGTTAATTTGTCGTTAATTAGTTGTGATAAAATTAATTTTGTCGTTTGAATATTTCATTGTTTTTATAGGTGATTTGCTAACTTCATATGTTAGCAAGGCACCCACCCCCCTTAAATATGTAATTAAATTTTTTTTTATTTAATATTTTTACGTTAATTTGTCGCTAATTAGTTGTGAATAAATTAATTTTGTCGAATATTTCTTTGTTTTTATAGGTGCTTTGCTAACTTCATACGAAGTTAGCAAGGCACCTTTATTAAGTATGTGATTAATTTTTTTTAATAGTTAATATTTTGCCGTTTATTTGTCGCTAATTAGTTATGGATAAATTAATTTTGTCGAATATTTCTTTGTTTTTATGTGTGCTTTGCTAACTTTATACGAAGTTAGAAAGGCACCTTCATTAAATATGTTATTAATTTTTTTTTAATAGTTAATATTTTGCCGTGAATTGGTCGCTAATTAGTAGTGAATAAATTGATTTTGTCGTTTAATTATTTTTTGTTTTTTTTTGGCTGCATCCGCTCCACTTATTACATGAATAATTTTTTAATAGTAATCATGTTTATTTAAAAGAAACCAAGTGACATTATTTATTTTTTAGAAACCTTATTTCACTTAGATTATTTAACATAATAGAATATTGATATTTCGTTGTTCGGGTATTCTCTCAAACGACGTAACTATTGTTTTTAATTGAAATTCATATGAAGTTAGCAAATAAAAATAAAAGAAATATTCGAACGAAAAAATTAATTTTTTTATAACTAATTAACGACAAATTTACGGCAAAACAATATCTGGACCATATTTGTTTAAAAGGAACCAAGCGCCAATTACAAAATTTTTATATAAAGGGCCATTTCAAGCGCGCAAAACGCACGAATTATAAAAATGTTTTTTTTTAAATTGTAGATAATTTATTATATAATATTTTGGCAAAAAAATTCTCAAAAATATTCTTCTTTTATTATGGCCTAGGCCGATAAAAAATTTTATGAGGCAAGTAATTAGTTCGATTTTTTCTCGCTAGGGGTATTGTTTTGACAAATTAATCCTTTTCTGAGAAATTAACGTACTAAACTGGTTTAATTTACTTATAATAAGCACTAATTTGTTTGATTTACTGTTAATGTTTAATATTTTTCATTAAATTATTGTAAAATTAAATATGAATAATAAAACAAAAAGTGAGGTTAGGCAACTAAGAAAATGCACGATTCTTTTTCTACGATTTAAATTAACTTTAAGTTTTAATTTGCTTTAAGTTTTCAGTGAAATTAAATGTTAAACACAGCTTAAACATTCCAAACTACCTATTTTTTAAATAAAAATCCAAACAAATTTAAATTAGATACCTACCTATTTATTAAACAATTAATTGAATTCAATGTAATAGCAAAAATCCATTTCTACTTAAATCATGTTGCTAGGTATTGTCAAACTATAACTGCTTCTAAAAGCAATAATAATTATTATACATTTAATGTAATCTTTAGCTAATAAATAAATGAGATTCTTAAAAAGTGAGGTTAAGCCGCTTTGATGTTGAATTAAATTGACCTATATAAAGTGCTTTGAAAATAAAATGTTGTATGCCATTCGGCCAAGAAGTGCCTTTTTGTGCTTCGCTCAATTGTAGGCCTCCGCAACGCGTCGGCCTTCAAACCTTGAGCTTAGCACAAAAAGCCTTACTAAATAACTATTATCTTGTCCCGTCCAAAGGTGTTAATTATTAAAATTATCTCTACTTTTATAAAATATTTCTTGCGTTTTTTTTAAATTTAATGTACCTATATTCTAATAAAAGAAGAATATATTTGACAATTTTGATGCAAAAATAATATATAATAAATTACCTACAATTTTTTTATAAAAACAGTTTTGTGATTTTTCCCGTCCGTATACGGACGGGAAATATCAGCATATATGCTTGAAATGGCCGTAAAGCCCTTTGTGCCCGAATTATTATCCATAGATATTTAAAAAGGGTCAATTTTAATTAAAAACAATAGTTTTGTCTGATGGGAGAATTTCCAAACAACAAAATATCAATATTCTCTTATGTTAAATAATCAAATTGAAATAACCTTTTCTAAAAAATAAATATAAATAAATGTCGCTTGGTAAATAAACATGGTTTCCATAAAAAAATTATTCATGTAATAAGTGGAGCTGGTGCTTTGCAAAGCAGCCGAAAAAAACAAAAAATCAAACTACAAAATCAATTTATTCACAAAGGTAGAAATGGTTAACTTAATTAAAACACCTTTTTCTGGAATATGAGGGCTGGACTATCTTGGTATGTAGGCATTGGCTAGGCGCCTTTGCAATGTTGGTGGTACGGTCGGGGTGACGAAAGAAACATTATTTTTAGGATTTTATCTAGTTTTTTTTAATGAAAATACTTGAGAAAAAACGGAAAACTGTTTTTCCAATTTGGAAACTTAACTTGGGCAATGTTAGCTATAAATTCCTTTTGGAATGTCATCCTGTCAATTTAAAAACATAATATATTTATTTTTTATTTATTTCAAAGTTTATAAAAAAATGCAAAATTTGTAATTTCTCACTGATAGGTTTATAATCCTTTATTTAATATAATTAAAAGATTTGATAAATAGTAGGTAATATTCTAAATAAAGCAAAACTGTAATCACAAAATAACAATGAAAATGAATATGCATTCGAAGCAGTGTTGTGAAAATAGTTTGGAATATATCATGCATATGCAACTAAGCAAATAGTTTGTCGGTTGATTTGCATCTGAAACACGAAATCCATTTTCCAAGATGATTGGAACACGGTTGTATTGCAGAGACGCACTTGATTAAGGACGTACTCCTTTCCATTTCTATAAAGTATGAATAATATAATTGATGGTCAAAGGTTAAATTATAGCTTAAAAATAAACCACTTAATCCTATTTAATTCCACCTTAACATCAGATTAAATGCAAAAAGCATGTATTTATATCGTTCATTTGTAGTATTACTTTCAAAAAATTACATTTATTTCACTTTGGTAATCCATTAATTCGAACTTTATAGGAATCCACAAAATCCTTATAAGAATAAAGAGTTTCTTATAAAGATGCGTTTTTCTTATAAGGGATCTTATAAGATATATATATATATAATGTTATAACATTGTAAGAAAGTCGGGTAAACGTGCATTTTTTTTTTATTTTTTTTTACGTATTATTTCAAAACGTAAAATTTTCCATTTAGGAGCCCTGCTGTGTGATTGGCTGTCCTGAAGATGTCCCTTGAATATTTGCACTGCACTTATCCAAGGGACATCATCAGGACAATGCCCGACATTGTGCAGTCGTCCTTTCAAATTTGCTACCAAAATTTTTTCCTTTGCCTTTTTTCATGTAAATAAAACCTTTCCATGCATGGTCGTACCTGTTATTGTCAAAAGTAAATGCTTATATCCGACCCCTAAGCAAGAAGCGAGTAACGCTGTCTATTATCACACACAATCAAACACACAATGTGTAGTTATTACAGTATTACTATACAGTGTATTTCCAAATTGGGCTGCCATAGGGAAAAAATTAGTATGTGTGTAAAGAAGTACAAGATTTGTTTTCGCATAATTTGCATAGTAGCCATCCTTACGAAGCTTCGCGTCCGACAGATACCCAATGCATGCATTATTAAGAAAACATAACATTTCTTCATGAGAAAAGTTCCTATATTTTTTTTATACAAATTTTTTATATTCGAACAAAAACCGATTAAACTCAATATTTTTATTAGTTTAAATAAAATATAAACAAAAATTACCATAAAAAATGGTGAAAACGTTTACGCATTTTTCCATCCTTCAAACTCTCCATAAACATTGAATTCCTTTAATGCTTCACGATCATAAAAAACTTTACTGGTATGTCATAAAATATTGTCGTGCTTGTCTGGTTCCAGGGGTTTTCAAAATTTACAAAATAATATTCTAATTAGGTAATCTAAATAAACATGTTGATTTAAATTTTCCTAAATAAAAATTGGGTTGACGATTTGATTAAAAGAAATTTCGCAACAAACATTAACTTTATTATACCGCTTACTTCGTTTCTGCACTACATAATTTGGATTTTGAACCAATATTTTTATTACGTAGAAAGCAATGGCTGTCCTTGGCTATTTTAGCAAAATTAAATGTGTCTTTATTTATTAGGTTTATTCTAGGCAAAATGGCAAAAAAAAATGGCTATCGTCAATTTTAATAGGCCGTTAAAAATTATTAGTGAAAAGTATGTTTTGGAAATTTTTGATTCAATTTAACCCATCATTTTTGCCTTTTTTCGACTTTTATTCTTTAAATTACTAAAAAAACCTGGCCTAAAATGCCTAAATGCTTGCCTAAAATGGGATAATGCCTTTTAAGTACCTACATCTTTTAATAATAAAATTTTTATAATAATAATAAGGTTTTTTTGAGTTCATGCAACAAAATAGTAACCTAAATAGCAATACACTCTAAGCCGGCAGACACCCAAAGCGCCGTTCATCCCTTTGACCATAGCTCCGCTCACCAAAATAAATAAACACCAGACCTTTGCAAAGTTTTGCTCCGACCTATGCATGACTACCTAGATTTAAAACTGTGTTTTTTTATGTGCGAAGCTATGGTGCAATACTATGATCAAAACAATGGAGCCGACGTTTATTTTCCTCTTACAAAAATATTTTATTAAATAAACGACATAATTTAAGATAAAATTAAAAAAAAAATTATTGTTATGTATATTAGAATTAACACGTTCATTTTTTTAACATTGCCATTTTTGTGTCTATTTTGCCTTTTTACCTTTGTTGGATGCCTTTTTTTAAATATTTAAGTGCCCAAAAGTCCGGTCTGAATTCTTTAGAAAACGGACGATAGATAAAGATAAAAAAAATTTTGCTTAAAAATGCTTTTAAGGGATATATTTGTCTGCATCATTGTTATGAAACCTTAAACGCATAGAACACGGATAAATCTAGTAGCAGTAATTTATTACTGCAATGTGGTGGTAACGTAAGTACGTAATTACTTAAGTAAGATAACGTGGGATTTCTTATAATAATAGGTAAATCAGGTATATCGCACAATAGACGAAATATACTTTCTTAAATAAATTAGTAAAAAATAAATAATTATAAGTTATATTTGTCTAATTTTTATAGCAAAAAAGCAGTTACTAATAATTAGTTAAATTCTACAAAATATAATGGTAGTATTTAGTAGATTTAAAAAAGTTAAGTTAAAACTCGGGTCTGTCGATTCAGACCTGATGCGCGTCAAAATCGTAGCGCTTCGAATAGAAACAACATTTTGATATGATTCATATGGCAAATAACTTGTTGTGTCTCAAATATTGTTTTTTATTTTCAAAATATTTTATATATGAAATGTGCTAAATTAATATATTAATTATTTTTGTTTTAAAGTCGATTTTTAGGAGCGCCAAAAATTTCTTCAAAAAAGAATATATGAAAAGCTAAAAGTACGAGTGGATCAAGTACTTCCAGGTCATGGCACAACGAACACAGGAAATGTGGCAAGACGATGTTTCCAATCTCCTGAGTCATTTGCCAATGCATTAGAAATTGATGTTCAATCAGTGATTGATTTGAGCAAAATAATATTATGCTTTAAATGTAAAGAGGAACTTGATTTAAATAAGCTGGAGAAATTTTGTTTGCAAACGTATTGCCGATATTACAAGCTTTATCCATGGGCCCGAATGAGTCCCACAGTCCACAAACTTTTGAAGCATGGATGCGATATTGCTCGACAACTTCCACTTCCTATTGCATATTATGCTGAAGATTCCAACGAATCCTGGCATAAATATTACAAACGCAATATGGTTGAGCACTCTCGGCAGAACAGCAGAGAACACCGCTTACTGGATGTATTTATTTAATCGAGCAGTGTACATGACAGACCCAAAAATATCTTTAATGCTTATAGATAGTAGAGTTAACAAGAGTAAAACTGTACAGTCAAATTTGTCCGATATACAGGAATTTATTTAAACAAAATAGTGTATAATGTGACAATAGCGCCTTTTTTCCTTTTTTGAAAATATTGTTCCTTTTTAACTTAAGCATATTATTTAGTATATTTTATCTTTACACACATGGATGTGTATCTTTCTTTATATATCTTAATTAAACAATAAATAAAAACAAATACTAGGTAATTAGTGATAATTTTACCTACTATTATATAGTAACGTGAGATATTATTTTGCTTTACTTGATTTTATCTAAGAGTTAGAGGATACAAGCAATTAGTTGGTAAAAATATCACTAATTACATAGTTTTTGTTTTTATTCATTGTTTAATTAAGAAGAAAAGTACTCTTTTAGTTACAATTACAATAATAATGTTTATGTTTCTATATCGAACAATGTAGTTAATGTATATAAGCATGTTCTTTATTCATGTTCTTATTTCTACCTATTTATAGATATTAAAAACACAAACTGTATGTGTGTACACATATAAAATGTATATTAAATATATGTATACACATACTCAAGTATATTTTCAAAATCATATGCTTTTTCGCGTATGCCAAAATCGCGTAAGCCAAAGCAACTTGTTCGAGTACACTAAGACTCTGAGTATTTATCAAGACCTTTAATTTGAGTTACATTAGAATTAGGTATGTATCTAGGTGGTCTGGAACCAAATTTACGACTTTATTAGGTTTTTTTAAATTCCAGGGTAACAAATCCGTGAACGCAATTTCTATGTTTGGCTTAAAACCGTTATAATTTTGCTTTTGGAGTACCTAGAGACTTCTACTAGGGTTCAAATATTATAGGTCTTTAATAGCACTACAACCTACTTGTATTATTTGAGGTGTCTAAGTATGAGGAGAGTATACAGAGCTGCAAGAATGTCATAAATATGTCAAAAATTGAACCTACTTAAATTTGATCCAAAAATTGAGGGCTTCAAATATATTTTAAAAAATTTTTATGAATGGGATTTTGTTTCTTGATTCCTTGTTTCAAAAATTATGTATAAGAACACCTGAATAAAAATGTTTTTTTGATACTAGTTAAAAAAGATTTTTTTTTCAAAATTTTGACCGCTTTTTTTGGATGTCAAACGGCTATTTGGATTCAATGGTAATAATTTTCCTTAAAAGGTAATTACATTACCTTTCAAATCCATTTTGAATCATATCAAAATGTTGTTTCTATTCGAAGCTACGATTTTGACGCGCATCAGGTCTGAATCGTACACTGTGTGTCGCTTGTCAAGCAAATCAAATAAAATTTATTTCAATATAAAATATACAAAATAAAAAGAAGACAAAGCAAAAGGGCCGTAATGTGGTAACGTGGTTGGCTGTAAAGGTTGCGTAGATATGTAATCCTGCCTCTTAAACCTTCCTGCAGAAGTATTGACATTGCAGCATCCTGACGATTTCCTGTCCTCTGTTTACAGAGCTCCTTAATTTTTGTAATGAAGTTTAACTGGCCTTTTTTGGCTGGGCGAGTATAGGGTCAGCTTGATCCAGGTAAAAGCAGTAAGCTAAATAATTTAAAAAATACCACTTAAAAAAAATTGGCACAAAAATAAGCATAGAGCAAGTACTGCGGTTGAATTTGAAGGGTGTGTAAACGTTGACAGCTCTACGGCCAACAACTACGGCCAACAACTACGCACACACCCCCAGTCAGTAAGCTTTATAATCTGTGCCCCCAGTTCGCACGCCTGTCACCAAACAGCGAAAGTCAACGTTTTAAGGGTTATGGTATCGCGGTATCAGTGATACATTAGAGGTCGCAAAATATCGGTAATCTTCCAGAGATCAAGCCCTGTTTATAACGCGTATTATGGTATCGTCTATATACGCTTATAAGCGTAGTTATGTGGCGTAAAAATGGGTGAAGGCGTAGTATCCATGACATGTTTTTTTATATAAGGCAGGCTTGCTATCTCATGCATACCAATCCGATGTCCGAAGCGCATTATTTTGCAGTCGTTGCAAAACCATGTATTGAGTGTTACCGCACCACACCAGGCAACCATAGCTGATTACCGGTCTGATGCAGGATTTGTTTAGTATAGTCTTGTTTTTGATTGACAGTGGAGTTTTTGATGATAAAATGGTAAACAGCTTCAAGAGCTAGAAGTATCCTGACCTTTAACAAAGTTATATGGGGGACAAACGTCTGTCTAAAATAATACCGACGTATTTTACAGAGTGCTGCAGTATGATTCTCTAGGGAAAGTGGTAAGAAGATTTAGTTGTTTGTGAACTTGACCGTAAAGTTAATCAACTCGGTTTTGACCTTCCATTTCTGACATGAATACGATTTATAAATATCTTTAATTGTTCGTTTGCAACTAACTAGAGCTAAAACAGGTCGAATAAAGGTTAATGTCGTCAGCGTATAAACCAAGATTTTTCGGCATATTCGCAGTATACAGCTTTAGCGCTAGCACCGTACTTTGCGGAACACCTGCGCCTATACGCTAAACAGACGACTTGGAACCGTTTACGACAACCTAAAAAGATCTGCCGTAAAGGTATTAAATAAGTAGATTGGTGGTCCAGGGGAAAATTTGGAGGCAAAAGAGCTTATGAATGAGGCCCTCTAGCCAAACCGTGTCGAACGCCTTCCCAATCAGTTATATCTGTCTATAATTATAATTATTGTTAATAATATTTTAAAATTGAATATTTTTTGTGTAACTGTTTTAAGCATGAAAATTAATTACTTAATTACATTTAACTCTAACAATAATGTGTTGTTGGCCGCAAGAATTTAAAAAAAATAAATAATTTAGTTACATTTTACTCTTACAAACAGTCAAAGATGGTGACTTATATTAATTTAGTCAAACTTTAAGTATTTAAGTTAGTAGTAAAAAATATCTTTAAAAGTGAAAACTACTATTATATTAGTAAACAATACTGTTACTAATTCAAATGGTAGAATTTTGACTATTTAATTTTAAGACAGTAGACATATCGTTTCTATCAGAAAATATGTAAAGAAACGTTATGCGCATGCGGTTCACTTGTATGTGATCTGATAACCCTGCTTGCGAGAAGGGTCAGCGGATCACTTACTCGATGCCTCGCCCCAGTAAGTTTCCAAACAAGAGTCAAGGTGATTGAGGTAGTAAACGAACACCATGGTTAGCACACCCAGATAGCACAGAAACATCTTAAAGATGTCGGACTCGGACGTTTATGACATCTCTAAGACGTCCAGTTTACGACGTAAGTCATCTTTAAGACGTCTTTAAGATATCTAATATTACAAAACACACCGTCTTTAAGATGTCCTTTTAACGGCATTATTAAGTCGTTGCTAAACGTCGTTAAGACGTCTTTAAGATGTATTGAAAACGTCTTGGTTATGCATTGCTACATCGCCAAAACGTTTTTAAAGTATAAAGTAATTAAAATGTAGCTAACACAGAGTACAACACAGAGTCTACTCTGTGGTAGCTAATAATGCCTCTATTAAAAAAAAAAAAAATTATTACATATTTATTTTTGCCTATTAATTCAAATGAATAGAGTCAAAACTTCTTGTCAAGTAGAACCCTCCTGTCTAAAGCCCTTCTTGAGTGTATTATAGGTGGGTATCAGGGTCAGAGACCAGGGTTTCCCTCGGGCTATCAATTATTTTTTCGGAAAGCACCATTAAAACGAAACCAAATTAAAAAAAAAATGAAAACCAACACTGCACACTGTTTTGACTTGAGTTGTTGAACGTCGAACGGGAACATAAAAAAAGAAAAACCGCCACGATTAGTAATAGCATTCAACCAAACTCAACATACATGTACAGTGCACTGAGAAAAATCGTCCTATTAAACAGAGTTCCTAACAAAATTTTAATTAATTAAAAACAAATTTTAATAACACCAAATAAAACGTTTTCTTATTTTAGATAAAACATAATTCCTAAAACATATTTTTTATTTTTATTAAACTGAACATGAAATGGAATATGTTGTTAATTATTATTATTCAACCTAATACCTGAAATTTAAGTAACTAGAACCTATTAATAATATCATTAAAATTAAGATGTTTGTTTAATAAAAATATGGATTAATAGATTTAAATAATGTGTTTAATAGGTTTAAGTAACAGGTTATTAAAATTTAGTGGACCGAAAACATCCGAACCTTTTTCCGATTTTTGACCACAAACTCGTTCTTTTATTCGCTAGTAGCGAATCGCTACTTCTATTTCGGCGCACAACGTGCGTTTGAGGTAATCTGATTTGCCTTGCTTGCATAAACTAGTCCAACCTGATTAAAAAGAGTGCATATAATAGTAGTAATAATAATAAATGTATTCCATGAAATTTGTGTATTTTTATGGTGGGTGAAGTTTAAATATGTTTTAAAAATTGCTGGAAGATTGAGGGTTGGAAGAGTTTAAGGAAATATTTATTCGTAAACCTTATTTTCTTAATATTTTAGATTGAATATACTCAATTAGAATCAACACCAACTGATTCTATAGAAACAACGGTTTCTAACCGCACTTTAACAACATATTCCGATAGTTTAGTATTAAGCCCAGTAGAGAAATTTTCTAGCTTTCTCAATAAAATTACATCGCAGCCACGCAACTTCAAAACCAAGCACCTTAAAAACCGACTTGATTAGCTCATATACAACCAAAAAAAATCACATTCAAAGGTTTAATTAGGTTAAATTTTTAAAATATTATGTTTTATAGTTAGTTTAGGGTTTAAAGTATTAATATTTTTTATTTAATGTTTTATATAAATGTTGATATGTTATTATTAACTGGGCCGATTTGCTTAGTTTTTCATGTACCTAATAATTTTTTTATTTTTATTAAATAAACTTTTTTATTTAACCTTAATTATAGTTACTAAAATATTCATTAACTAATTGATTAATTGTGGAGCAAACATGCAAAAACCGATAAGTCCATTTTTACATTTTAAGAGTATTCATACTAATTTTGGTAAACTCTTTTACCTTAGCACAGCTTTTTAAGGAAAAACCGATACAGAGACAACCCAACAGGAGCAACATTCCCTTTTAATAGTTTTTAAATATTTAGGGGACTCGGCTGTACACATGTTTGGCCAATATTTTAGAATAAGTTAAAATGGATATATCGGCTTTTGCATGTTTGCTCCATAATTATCCTTGGTAAATATGTATTAATAAGCGTAAGTATTTAGTTAATAGAAATAACAAACAAGTTTATTTAACCCCCATATAGGTTTAATTATTTTAATTAAGCTATACCTTTAATATTAAATAAAGTGCTTAATTCGAGGGGTCAACCACTAGCTTTAAAAATGTACAATGATTTCCATATATGGCAATCACTGATCAGAATAATGGGTGATTCCTATGTATTCCCAAATATTTCCACTGATTGCCAAGTATATGTATATGATTCCCAAGTATTATCCAGGTAATTCCCAGGTTGTTAGCGATTCCCATAAAATTTCCAAATGATTACCTAATTTCCTTTAAGCAATGCACCCAATTTTTTATGAAAATGGTGTTTCCTTGGTCGATTTTTACATTGACATTAGCAAAATAGTAGCCTTATCTAATGTAAGTACTGGGTGTCCGAAAACATATGCTTTCTTGGTTATTTCTATTTATTTAAACATGGGTTTTTATTTTTTAACTCGTTTTATTTAATTAAAAATATTTAATTTATTTATTCACGAAATAATTATACAAACATATTTATATTCATAGTTAAATTATAATAAAAATACTAAAAATTAAGTTACTTTGATATGAACATGACATTTACACTAACATTTGCACCTTTAGGACCCGGTTGTACAAAGCTTCTTTAGTTCGGGTTTAGTTGAACCGCGCTTAAAATTTTATCAAGTAACGACAATCTATCAACAAATGTCTCATGCAAAGCACTGTTCAGTTAAATCCCCCTGAATTGGCTTTGTACAATCGGGCCTAAAACACATTGGCCAAGTAAAACTAAAGCAGTTATTAGAAAAAAGTTTCATGCGTCACATATAATATAAAATAATAATTGAAGGTTTTGTTAAAATATTAATATTTTCGAGAATTTTTTAGATCTTTGTATTTTTTTTTAATAGCCAGTATATCATTTCTCTTTATAGTAAAGGGATCACTGCCACTTAATGTGACAGGTCCATAAAAAATGAAACGGCGATGTACTTCTTGTACGTCATCTTTTTTGGGCCATTTAAAAATATCGCTGTCTTGTTTTAAAAATTTGATTTTAAATTTTTCTGATTTGCAGTTCATTACTCGCCCTAAATACCATTGCGTATCATAATACACCGCATAATACAATTCCAAAGTAATCGTTATTTCTTTAGTTTCACTAGGACATTCATCCAAATCAGAGAAATCTTCACTGTAAGTTTCACTAGCTAAACTTATTTCTGATTCTGATTCAGTTGTGCTATCTTCCTGCTGTCGTCCTTGCCTAGTATTTTTTTCATTCTTAGTTTTACATTTCTTTAAGTTTTGAATTTGACTTTTCGACTTTTTCTTTTGGGTGTTTTTTGAGGTCAATCTCGAGGTCATTCCCTTAACTCTTAATACTCGATCGGTTGATAAACGTCCTTGCTTTTCTAAAAAAACCAAATTAATGTAGACTTTTTTATTACTCTAGTTTTTCCATCATTGAGTTTTACAGCCAGGCACGACGTGTGTATTTTTTTTTGTCCTGAATAATCTTTTAATTGTAGTGAATCGTAACTGCTAAAGCTTGATGTGTAATTAAGAAATTCTGTGTCTTCTTTTGGCAAGTTGGCTTCGAGTGAGGCTTCAAGATTCTTGTTTTCATTCTCATGGTCTGCCCCAGAAATCATTGCATTATCGTCTACTTCTTCGTCCTCTTCAATATCTATAATATCGTGGAGTGGTCCAGTTATTGGCAAATCAACATTTAACCAACAATCCGTATCCATTTCCATTCCAAATTGTCTAGCACTTAATGTTGCGTCTTCTTTGGCTTTTTCAATCGTTTGCTTGATAAGTTCCACTGATGGAAGCTGAGTTAATTTATAGGCAGAAGCGTCATTGCCCAGTCTTTTGTTTTCTTGTCGGGGAAATCTAAATTCAGCACCTAAAAAAATTAATCTAAAGTAAATAGGTCGCAGTACATATGTTATTTACCTAAATCAGTGCTGATTTCATGCATAGCTTGTATGCGTTTTAATCGTCTTAAAAGTTCAAGTAGTGTATAATTTACCACGGTAGAAAAGGTGCTACTCATAGATCGTGTTTCTCTAAATATTTTTTCACATGGCTGACTACTAAACAACCATGGAAGAAAATTTGTCTTTGACGAAGTTGTTCAATCGCCAGGATAATTCCATGAGCATTTAATTCTATACACGTGTAGGTATTAAGGGTAATAAATTTTTTCTGAATGCTTTGGTTGTTCTTTTTTAGCCAGGATCTCCAAATGCGCATAAAAAAGTTGTATACCAAATAAGGTATAGTCGCCTTTCTACACTGATGTCTTTTAACAAAAATGCATCTAATATGTAGCGTGTTAAAATTAAATATTGTCTAGTAGCTTCAGCATCAGGAATTTCCCTGAGAAGATTTGTAACTTGTTCAGAGCACATTTTGTCAATTGCATTGATATTCATTTTATCTGAAGCTAAAAAAATGTATATTTTTACTGTGATGATAATATGTGCCTAAAGAAATTATTATATTATTAATATATTTTTTCCAAATTAAAAGGTGTTAAGAATCCTTATAATTACTTACACTCAAGAAAGCTTTTACACAGCAAATGTTTATCTCTTGAATAGTTGTCAATTAGCTTTCGAATACTATCTACAGATACCCGTTTTCCTCCCATGTCCATACACGCGTTTTGATTTAGTAGTCGGGTTTTCAACTTAGTTGATATGTGAATTGTATCTTGAAACACAGTGGGAATTTCTAAATTGTATTCTGCCTAAAAATATTTATAATTAAATAATGGGTTTAATTTTATCTATTTAACCTTTTATTTGACATACCTGATAATAGGGCGAGTATGGATTATCAGAGATTAGTGGCAATTTCGACATAGTCTTCATACTCTTTAAGCATCGTGTATCACCATCACTAGAAAACCCCAAAATTGTTATGTCATGTTTCGCTGCTTCTTCTACAAGGTATTTCCACCTCTTAGAAACATTATCAGATGTAAATCGGTTATCGCTGCCAAAGATAGATATACAAAAAGCTGGGCCATAAAAACATAGGCGTTTATTGCCAAACTTTCATTTTTAAAAGCATTCTCAATGTCACAAACTGAGTTCACTGAAAATTTTCCAAGGCAAGAAAACCCTGTATTTTTATGTAATGGTGCTACAAAACCAACCATTTCATTTATAGAAGAATCATATTGTACTTTCTTGATAAGGGCTGTTTGATCTTCCGAAACAAAAATCACAGGGGGATATTTTCGTTTGTCTAAATATAATTTTAGATCTTCAATTCTTACTACACCCTCTAAAATATTATTCATTTCTTCCAGTTGTCGGTGAATAGTAGTAATAGAGGGTATAATGTTTTTTAAATTTGAATACAATATTTCGTAGGTCATCCTACCGGCGGTAATAAAAATATACAGCCAAAAACGTTTTATACCTTCGTCGAATTTATTTGCATTTCCGAATTTGTTATTTGAATTTTTTATTGCTGATTCCAGAAGATGCTTTAACAATCCTTTCGTATCATAATTGAATTTATTTAGGCTTTTATTTTCTGTAACAATTCTTAGGGTATTTGTAATTTCAGGGTTTTTATCTATTACTTCTTCTATAACATTCATAAAATTCGTTATTTGTTGTTGATTGTATGGAAGCTCATTTAAGTTTCGTAAAGACCTTTCTCGTCTGGAATTGCTATTTTTGGGAGGCTTTATATTTTCTGAAGCGTTATTACCCCTGTTAATACTGGCAGATTGCTTGACCTCCACATCACTGCCATTGGAGAAAAAATCGTCAGGACCTGGTGGTAATGAACTGGTTTCCAAATCGTTAATTGAATTAAAAACGTCCATGTTTTCTCCAATCGGACTGCTAGGTGGATAAAAAATATTATTAGCAACCTCATTATTTTGCATTACGCTTATCTCTTCTATATTTATTGGCTCCTGTAATAATTGTGTTCGGGGAAGGCAGTCTGGTTGTATATTATTTAAAAAACTGGATTCAAACGACTGATTATTAGCCCTTTGCTGATCGGTATTTACAGTTTTAATAACTTGTGATATTATGTGGATCTTTTTTGGCTCGTGAGATGATTCTGCCTCGTAAGGAAGGTATTGTTGGTACTCATAATTCTCATCAAAATGAACGTTATATTGAATATCCGATTTACATGATGTTGAAGATGCAGAATTTGGGTTAATTAGGTGAAAATTAGGCTCGGAGTTAGAAGAAGTATTTGGGCTCCCGCCAAGGTTTCCACATGTTTTGTCACTGGTAGTTTTTTTCAGGAAATTTAACATGCTATAGGGCACTTTTTGAGTTTGTGTTTTGCTGGATTTAAGGCTAAGTGATTTGATTTCATTGCGTTTGAAATGTGTTCTGTAATGTCTCAAGAAGTTCGAAACAACCCACTTTCGTCCGGTTTTTGAATTCTTTACCGAGTATGCAGAAGAAATGAATGTACATAAAGGGCAAGATATTTTTGCATTCAAACCACCATCCATCTTAACTTTTAAATTTTTAGACTTGGCTATATTTCTTTAAGTCTATCTTCATTAATTCTACCATTATTAAACTCTTCCCTAGAAAATTTATTAATATACACTTGACTAATGTTTACAACATGCTGTAGTGCCGATTTATCTTTATCACTTGGATTATTATCTTCTGTATCAGTTTCAGACTAAGGCAAACTACTGTTGGTATATTTTTTTTCTTTTTTGGAACTAATGTTTCTCCAGAGCAATTTATAGAAATAGAAAAGTTTAATTTTTTTTTCGGATTCCTCTTTTATAAATCGTACAAGTTTTTTATGTCCTTCTGGAATTTTAAAAAATGAACAATCTTCGTAAAATATTCCGAAAATAGCTTTTTTTTCATCTCCCAACACATTGAAAAGTACATCTCCTGCGTAGCTTTCAATCTTTTCAATATCTTCATTAATATTTAGTTGGGAAAGAGAATATATATTATCAAATCCATTGTGAATAAGAAGTGTTGCAAGATACTCTGGTATTTCTGTTCCCAAGTCCTGAAGTAGACCGTTGATATAATCCATATTATTCTAAAAATAGATATATATCAGATACAAAAGTAGTAATTAAACCACAATTTTAATTTTAATTAAAAAAAAAACACGTCGAGAGACTTGGCTAAAAAACTATGCCAATGTCATATAATCTTATATTTATTTGTTGATAAAAACAAAAATTATGTACCGTATAGTTTTGGTAAAAATCACTTTAAAATTTTTTTACGATTAACATTACATGTAAGGTTAATGGCATAATTTTTGACCAAAACTAGACGGTTAATAATTTTAAAATAAAATAAGTTAATAATTATAATTTATGTTTGGAATAATTTATCAAAAATTTAGACAATATTGACGATAGCGAGTTTCGCGAGACAACTATCTTAAAAGTAAAATGCTTTACTTTTAAGCGTTTCGTTCAATAATTATTATACAGGATGTCCTATTAAAAAAAAATTATAACTTATTCAGTTTTAAACTTAATAAACGTTTTTTATTTTTAAAATTAACTTTAAAATGTGGAAATTATTTGTGAAAAATTTTGCCGTCGAGATGCTGTCCTCCTACGCGCATTGCCTCCTTCAAACGCTCTCTGAAATTGGCAAACACGCGGACACTGTCGAGGATTTTGTTGTGGAGGTTCCTTAAATCAAAGAAGTACACTGACATTCCTGCAAATCTGAATCAGTTGAAGCAAATAATTTGCGATGAAATTCGAGCAATTCCACAAGAACTCTCTGTCTGCTTGTTTGCCAGCATTTCGACGGCAAAATTTTTCACAAATAATGTCCACATTGTGAAGATAATTTTAAAAATAAAAAACGTTTATTAAGTTTAAAACTGAATAAGTTATAATTTTTTTAAATAGTAAAGACCTTTTAGGGCATCCTGTATAATAATTATAGACCGAAACATTGACGCTTGAAAGTAAAGCATTTTACTTTTAAGGTATACAACTATAGTTGTTTCGTGAAACTCGCTATCGTCAATATTGTCAAAATTTCTGATAAATTATTCAAAACACACAAAAAACCTTTTAGGACACCCTGTAGCTAACTCTGCATATTTAAAACTATGATGTGTCGATTATAATATCCTTTTAACGACATACACTCTAGTCGCATAATTGTATTTTGTTATATTTATAACGGTATATTATTTTACAATCTATTATATTAATATTAATATTAATAAAGGACCGAATAGAGTACTTACTTACCTTTTTATTTTAGTAAACCTTATAGAGAGTCAACACTTTTTTTATCACGAATTTACACAACCACTTTAACAATAACAGATATTGCGAACGTGTAGAAGCCGGCAAAATAAGTAAAAAGGTTGGTTATGACAAGCGATTTTTAGGTTATGACAAAGTGATTCCCAGTAATTTCCACTTGATTCCCAGGGATTTACAATGTATTCCCATGGATTCCTAGGTGATTCCTAGGGATTCCCATGTATTCAATTGATTCCCATGTGATTTCCATGCGATTCCCATGTGATTCCCCGAAATATGTACAATGATTTCCACTAGTGGTTGACCCCTCGGCTTAATTATTCCAAGTAAAAAAAAAAAAAAAAATTACCATAGATTTGACAAACAAGTTTATTTAAACCCAATAACAGTTTAATTATTTTAATTAAGCTAAAGTATTAATACTAATAAAATATTTTGTTTAATAAATCCAAGTGTCTTGTTTTATAATAATAATAATAAATGGTATTAAGTATTTTTCTAAAAACGTATATAATAAGTTTAATAAAAACAATTAAATGTTTCAGGAATATTTTTATTCCTAAATGTATTAAACGGTTTAATTGTCCCATATGGTATTAAAATTCTTATTTAAATGAATTAAAATTTTAATTAATTTAATTATTTCTTTCTCTCAGTGTACACATACAATCTGCATTTAGTTATGAGTTATTTAAGAATTGAAAAGAGGCAGACATCAGCGCTTGGTGAAATAGAAAAGAACAGCATAAGGATCATATGGCGTGACTTATAAGATGGTGCCGATTTGATGATTTCATTGCATTATGGGAAATGTGCGGGTAATTTGATTTAAAAACTTTCGCTGGAATATTTTAAGGTTATTTTGTCTTAATACTTAATTTTTAAAAAACATATTTGTTTATAATGTTTTTATTACAAATGGATATTATTAATTGTAGAAAAAATAACCAATCTACAAAAATGGCAGATATATATTTATTCAGTTACCCTACCCATCATCGTTGTCAAAACTTAAAATCCTACATTAATGTTGTTTCTATTACACCAAAATAAGATGGTACCTAATTATATCTTACTATGAAGTGGCTGAATATGGGATATAATATAACTTGTCAAAATTCACTATTTTATCAAAAAATTAAAAATAAGCGGCGGTATCAGGCTTTTATAAGATGTCTTTAGAACATTAAATGAAAATATCTTTAAGACGTCTTTTTTAGACATACAAAAAACATATTCAATACGTTGTGTGCTATCTGGGCAGGTTCACTTACCCGGGTGACGGATCACCTACCCGAGTAGGTTTCCAAAAACGCCTAATATTGGCATCTTCAGCAGCACTTTTTATTTAGTTTTGGTGTTGGGGAATATTTCCAATATTAGTGTTAAATATCACCTTCTTCAAGTACCGTTTTATAGGTTTATTTTCACTGATAAAAGTAGCACTAACTCAATATACAGACTGTTAAATACAATATATAAAATGGTGCTCTACGGGTTTTTGTTTTAAATTTACAGGGAGTTAAAAAAAAAAGTTTCTGTCTAATAACTGTTTATAACTAAAAGATAAGAAAACAAAATATTTGCAATTGCTTAATTCTTTAGTAGAAGTCTAGTAGTCGCGTACATAAGGATATTGTTTATTTTCTTAAACTATTATTTTTTTATTAAAAAATACACTGTTTAATTTTTTTCCAACCTTTCTGTTACACTCTATATAAATAGTAATGTAAAACTTCTGGTATCTTTCACGTTTATGTACTGAAAATTAAGCCGCTTATTTAAAATAAATACATACTGTAGCGTGGCACGAGGATGTCGCGCCTCGAAGGGTTCTTGTTGGGAACTTTTCACGAAAACTCTGCACTAAGTTCATAAACGCACTGGTTTATTAATATTGATAACATTTACACTAAAAATAGAACACAATATGATATTAAAAAAAAATCAATAATAATGATTAATTGCCCGACTGACTCCGAAGCTTCTTCGTCGTCCGGAGGTGGAGTGGGGGTTAGGGTGCGTTCCACTACAATACTGAAATAGTTAATTTCCGTGGATAAAGGCATGTACTTCGATTAATACATATAATATTCCAATATAATATAACAAACATCCTTTAAAATTTTCTGCATAAAAATATAAATTTAGGTTATTTTAAAGCAAGGTTTTTGTGGAAATGAATTTTGAAAATGGAAGAATAGGAATTATATAATGGAATGGGCGATTAAGAAGAGATACTTATAAAATTAATATGGTTTTGACGGTACCAGTTATAAAACTATATTGTTAAACTATAATACAGTGTTATTGCCAATCATAACCTACTATAAAATAAATGTAAACTATTTTTTAGTATTTAAAAAATAATAAATTGTTGGGTAGACGTTATTTTTATTGCTTACTTTGTATTATCTATGTAGATGCTAAATATGAATGGGTTACAAAAATTAATTATAGTTTTTTATCCATTAATTAAATTTAAAAAAATAATTATTTATCTGATTTTGCACGCATAAAATATTTTGATTGTCTTATATTGTTTTCAGGCCTGCAGTCTTTACCAACATAGCCCTTTATTGCGTTCACTTATCTCATATAAAATTTGCCTTATTGGATTCTTTATTTCGGTAAAAAAACGTGGAATCAAAATGAAACATTGTTAAAGAAAGGATCTGAAGACACGGTTTATATTCTAGCTTATATCTTGGATTTTATTTATAAAGTAAAACGAACATTTCAATATTAAATTTATGTTTGGTTTGGATTTTTTGCAAACATCCAGTCCTTGATATAAAAATGTATTAAAAATATTAAGGTTTTATTAATTTTTTTGAATGTTAAATAAAATAAAAAAATCATTATAAAAATTCGCACCAGAAGTAGTTTTTATTAAAACATGAATTTAAACCGAAAGTCCCTGTTCAATAATAATATAGGTTGAAATAAACTCTCAAAGTCAATTAGGAGTAAATGATAGATTTGCTGTCAGCCTTATTAACGGATTGGTTTTGATAGCCGCTCGCTTCGTGCCATATAAATTAATTATCATTTATTTAGAAACGACAGCCTCTAAATCCCAAAGAGAATTTTAATACTAACTATATTACTGAATTCAAAAGTATACTTTGGCCAGCTAATATAGGTACTTACTACTCTCTTAATTTGTTTAAAAAACAGTTAAGTAATAAAAATTGTTTTAAATTCATGAAATTTAAATTCTCATAATTAAA